AAATGGAGAGAGGTATTGCTCGAAGTACTATGGGCATATCGAACAACTTCGAAGTCAAGCACCGGAGAGACACCGTTCTCTTTGGTATACGGGTCCGAGGCTTTGATACCGGTCGAGGTTGGAGAGCCAAGCGCCAGATTTCTACATGCCACCGAGGACTCGAACACGAGGCCATAACTACAGCCCTCGAACTGCTAGATGAAAAGGGAAAGACTGCACTAGTCCGAATGGCCGCCCAAAAGCAGAGGATCAAGAGATATTATAACAGGAGAAACCTTCGATACTTCGGAGTCGGGGACTTAGTCCTAAGGAAAGTCACCCTCAACAATCGAAGCCCAAATGAAAGGAAACTAGGCCCGAGCTGGGAAGCACCGTACCGCATCCTCGGAGTAGTAGGCAAAGGGTCCTACAAACTCGGCACCATGGAAGGCGAGCAACTTCTAAGCAATTGGAACATATCGATGCTCAAACGCTATTATTGCTAAGGTATAACCTTCTCCCTTTTCATTTATGTTTTATACTAACTTATTGCAGGTGTTCGATTGAGAGGAATCGAAGCACCCTCCAGCTCGAAGACCTTGGGTTTTCAAGCATGTGTTGCGCTCTTTTTCCCTTAGATCGGGTTTTATCCTAAACGGGTTTTACCGGCGAGGTTTTTAACGAGGCAACATCCATATGCTACCTAAGGAGAACTCATCAAGTATTCAAGGCTTCTATACTGGGGGTCACCCCCCTCGGAGGTTATCTTTTCGAAAAAATCGAGTTACGCCTAAGCGGGACCTCGTTAGGGAAAAATTGTATTGGGCCAAATGGTCGAATGAACCGTGTCCATGTAGAATAATCGAGCCTCCGAAGGCAAGAACATGTACACGTATATCAAGTAATCAAAGAAGCCTCCTTGCTTGTCAAAATGTTGTTTACTACTGTCACGCAAAACAGCTCAAGGGCCAAAAATCCTCGAACACTCGGGGACTGTCGCCGACAGTCAGCTCATCGAAGCCATCAAAAACTCGAGCTCATAAGACCTCAGTGAGGCATCATCGAATCTGTAAGACCTCAACGAGGCATGCCCAAACATATAAGACCTCGATGAGGCAATACTTCTGTAAGACCTCAACGAGGCATGCCCAAGCTTACAAGACCTCAATGAGGCAATATCGAGCTTATAAGACCTCAACAAGGCATACTCAAATTTATAAGACCTTAAAAAGGCATAACCCCAAAGTTAAGGCCAAGGCTATATATTCGAACTTATAAGACCCCTAAAATGCGTACCCTCGATATAGACGCCAAGGTCACCGCACCCGGGGACTAAAGGCTATGGCCAAACATAAAGACTACGGTCGAACTAAAAGGCTACGACAGAATTAACGCGGCTCAGAGACGTCCGACTGGCCATAAAACTAAAGGCCTTCAAATACTTCGAAAAGAACCGGTAAATTAGGCTACCCTCGACATAAGCAAAGGAGCTTTGATAATATCAGCTCCAAACAATAAAAAGGCTTCAAAAACAATCAGCCTTCGATGAAATGGCTTTGAAAACTCAGCCTTCAAGCGAACCTCCCGAGGTACTCAGTTGTCGTCACACATCGACTCATAATCGAGGTTCTCGTTTGAGCCGTCGAAGAGTCGGACGAACATAAAACATGCCAAGGCATAATCAAAACTTCAAAAGTCTTTAGCCAAAATGAGGGAAAACTATAGGAATATTAGAGGTCGCATCGACCCAACCTAAAGAGCCTAAGGGCCAATGCTTAAGAGCCGAAGGGCCAGCCTAAAGAGCCTAAGGGCCAATGCGTAAGTGCCTAAGGGCCAGCCTAAAGAGCCTAAGGGCCAATGCGTAAGAGCCTAAGGGCCAGCTTAAAGAGCCCAAGGGCCGATCTAAAGTGCTTAAGGGCCAATGCGTTAAAAACTCGAGGGTCGAACCCCGAATGGATAACTGTTATCAATCATTCGTTGAACATAAAAACCTGAGGGGTTTATATCATAAGTCGAATCGACGTCAAACTGGTCATCGGCGAACATCAAAATTTGCTCCAAAAAAGGCAAAGGGAAGACAAGAAATAACGAATAGCAAAGATCCTTATATATATATATATATATATATATATATATATATATATATATTATAAAGGTCCACAGACATATATGCCAGTCTCGCGCCTGGAACCCTCACACAGGAAATGAGCAAATAAAAACCTAATCTACCGTCGGGGTTACTTGACCAAACGGAGCTCCCTCAGAAGTTGTGCCTTCAACGGCCTGGCCCTCGGCCCCCGGAACATCGACGGCCTCCTTCCCCTCGGGGACTTCACCTTCGTCTTCATCATCCTCCGAGCCGCTGGTCGAACCACTGGCTGAACCATCATCGGAAGAAAGCAGAGTTGTCGATTGATCTAGGGCCTTCACCCTCTCGATCTCGGCAGACAAATCGATGCCCCCTGCATATGCATCCTCGAGAGCCTGTCTCTGAGATTTTAATCTAGCATGACAGTTTAAGCTCGGCCTCTTCGGATACCTTCCTGGCTCGAGCATTTGCAGCAGCAGCATCTTTTTGGTACGAAGATATGAGCGCAACAACTTCGGACTTAGCTGCAAATAGCTCAGCAACTGATTCGGCATGGAGATCTCTGTACTTACGACTTTCTCCCTCGCCCCCTGGAGTTGGCGCTCAACTGAGGTCAGCTTCTCTCGAAGAGTTTCTTTATCGGAGGACACCTCATCCATGCGCTACTTCAGCCCAAGGATTCCGGTATCTCTGACTTTAAGCTCCTCCCGCATTAGATCATCTTTTTGCTTAAGCTGAAAAAATCAAATTAAGGTATCAAACGCTCAATTGACTGAGATACAAAAATAAGCCCACGAAGGTCGTATTACCTGCTCATCGAGATCGGCCCGCTCTCGAAACATCCTCTCCAAATGAGCTCGAAGCTCACCTAGCTCCCCCTCCTTTTGGGCATGAAGGTCCTTAAGTTCGCCCAATTCAGAAACGAGCTTCCTAAATTCGTCCTCACAACGAGCTAACTCAGCTTGTGACTTGGAAAAAGCTTGGTTGGAGAGCATCAAGGCTTGAAAACACAGAAGAAGGGAGTTAATTCGAAGGCAAGAAAAGATATCTGATTGGCGAAACATGTTACTTACGATTCATATTCCATTCCTCGGGGAATGACATTCTCTCAGTAGGGACCCAGACATCAGGAACCAGTTTTGTCCGAAAGTACTAAAGACAATCTACGAGTTGGGTTTGAATAGACACTCATTCGATTATTTAGCTCAAGGGCTACCCGAGTTCGAGCAAGTTCTTACTCGAGGACTATTTATAAAGCCTCAGGGCCTCTCGAGTTCGAGAGAACGCTCACTCGATTCTTTAGCTCAAGGGCTACCCGAATTCGAGCAGGTTCTCACTCGGGGACTACTTATAAAGCCTCAGGGCTATTTTTATTTCAAGTTCGAACAGATTTTCGCCCAAATTTGGGCTGCCCGAGTTCGAGCAAACTCTCACTCGGGGATTATTTGTAAAAAACCTAAGGGCTGTCTTTATTTTCAGATGATCGAGCAAACACCCACCCGGTTGGGAAATCTAAAGACTGCTTTAGCTCGAGAGACTTACCACTCGAGGATTATCAACGAGGCCTAAAAATTCTAAGCTTTATTTCAAAAATCGAGATCCTGTTCTCACTCAGTACGGACCCAGAAGTCCCAGCGACCTAAGTTCGCATCAAATTAATCCAGGCTTAGTCCGAGGGATAACAAAGAGCTTCAAGAAATATCATATTAACCAATCAAAAACCTAAGGGTTTATTATGTCCGGGTCCAGTATTCGGACCGATCGATAAAGTCATACACTTGAATTTTTCACAAACGAAGGCGGAATGGAGTTCAACACAAGTCAAAGTCAAAATAAGAAACTCTTATATTAATAAAGGACGATTACAAAAGCTCACGAGAGGTTCGAGAAAATCGGAGTCAAGATCATTTCTTATCATTTCATTCTAAAAAATGCGGGGACTATCTGTATACGGTCAAAATCAGGGAAGAACGATTTTAAGGCTTCTACGGCGTTCCAAGCCTGACCTCGACGGGCTCGAAGCATAGCCTAAGGCTTGGCCCCGAAGCACTCGCCTCGAGAGGGTATATCGAAGGCTCATCATGGCGCACGTCGAGGCAGCATAAAATCAGCGATCGTCATGGAAAGGCGGGAAAGCTCCCAAGACCATGTGATTAGATCTGACCAGGTCTGCAAGAATAGTACAAATACGTACTGAGCCATCGTATAGCTGTACTAGTAGCATTTCTTTGTCATTTATTAGATATATATACTATGTTGGGATTCCCCCCCCCCCCCCCCCTTTCCAAATAAAGAGGACGCTTGTCATCTTGTAAAGGATTCAAATTATCATTGAATACAACACTCCCTGCTCTCTTCGCTTTAACAATTGTTCTACACATTTATTGCTTATTCTTTCATTGTTCATTTATTGTTCTTCATTTATTGCTCATTATTAACCAGAGAAGGCCATCTTTGAGGCCTTCATTATCATGGATTCTTCATTAATAGCTCGTTACCAACTGCCCAAAATAGACCTCGAAGCCTCTGTTCCCGCCAGTTCGAGGTTCGGTTTTGCGATAACTTTGGTTTGTTTTCCTTATTCTCTTTATTTACACTTAGCATCTATTGCCTAAAAACTAGTATTAAAATAAATCACATATTTTTAGAACCACAAAATCAAATATAATTGTCATTACCATTTTCAAGGTAAACAAAACTCAATCTAAAAAAGGTAAACAAAACTCAATCTGTTGTTTCATGTCTTATTCATACCAACAGCATAATTTGGGGACCAGAATGGCTCTTTACTCCACTTTTCTGTGATGGACAAATAAATTTACTCGCCCATTGTTAAAACATTATTTTAATGTTATTTTATACTCCATAATAGTTATAGCATTAGCAATCTGCATTCACAGTCCGATTGAAACTGGTGCAGGTACAGAAATTGTATCAGTTTCTGCATCAAAATCATGTATGCTCTTTTCTTAATTATTGTATATTGTTTACATTTACAAAAGTACACATTGTGTAAAACTCACCAAGCTGGTAATCATCACACATTGAGATTACAGAACTGTAGGATTTCTCTCGCAAGATCTCAACTCCTTTTTTTTTTCTCAATGTACACAATGGATCGATATGAAGTTCAAAGTTACTTAGCAGAGGACTTGTTTCTCCATCAAATTGTCGTCTGTAGTTGAATCGTCTGACAACTGAGTAGGTGGTTCTTCCTCCTTGTGCGCTTTAATTATATCTCTTGTTCTCAAGAAGCTAGGTTGATTGGTTGACGATAGAAGTCTCGCCCACATCCTGTCCGTTATCACAACCTTGTTTTGTGTCTCAGTGATTCTCTGCAGGTACCATGTAAAAGCAGAACATAATCAAAAATAGCAGATCACTGCATCTCACGCAGAAACCTATTTAGTATAGTACAGCTGCCAATCTTGGGCATTATATACACTCATGTCACTAAAGTAAGAAAGATAATGGCGGAGTCAGGAATTCTAATAAGGGGATTCAAAAAAAAAAAATACAAGAATGAACCACCTTCACTGCTACACCGAAAGCTTTTCTCATGTCAAGGAAATTCAATAATACATATATGTACGTGTATTTGTGTGTATAGGTCTGGTATTTTCGGGGAAGGAAATGAACTCACGTTAAAGGGTATGTAAGCATGTCTGCCATTGACAGGACCGACTGTAAAGCCAGTATAGCCAGCCATTGCTCCGTGCACAGCACTTTGAGCAAGAAGAGTGCAATACACATTGTCAGATGCATTACTTGGAATAGCCCGAATCATGTACGTTGGATCTGCACATTAGAACAGGGAAATAGGTTGTTAGGTTCCTGCAAATCTCATCTGCAATAGATTAGAAATTTGGCATTCAAACAATCAATACCGACCTATATATTTAAGATTAATGAGCATCTTCTTTTGTTTAGAGAAATGTTCCTGCAAAAAAAGTCCATAGAACTTAGTACCTTGCTAATGAGTCAGTGTGCATTCTCATTCAGATGCCATTCAGGACTATCACTGTTTTCTAGAACATGTCGAATACATCTCGACTGAGTAAAATGCATAAGGAACAAAGACACATAGTAGCTCATTCAAGCACTAATATATGCTTAAATTTTTAAAATAACAGAAATAAGGCACTATCCATACAATTGCATACAATGTAGTGTTCAACTATTCAATGAAATTTGGAATAATATACAATACATAAAAAGGCAAGCACCATATGCACTTAATGAGGAAGACCGTGGATTTCATTAAGTAAAGGCCAAGCATGAAACTGTACCTTTATCCTTTCCGAGATCCATAGGCCAACATCTTGTAAAAGCTTATTCCCTGAAGGATCCTGCTTACCGGTGCATCTCAAACTCTCAGAAACTAGCTCTTGGCCGGCACCTTCAGCTATGACTATAACCATGTGTCCGTTTTCTTTGAGTCTGTGCTCTATGTACTCAAACAGTCCACCGCATCCCTCAAGATAGAAAGGGGACTCTGGAATCAAGCAACAATCGACATCTCGACTGGCAAGAGTAGCATACATGGCAATGAACCCTGCACATCGAATACATGTCAAAGAAACGTAGACCAGACAATTCATGCTAATCTATGTGCTATAAAATCAAAATAGATCAGCTTTATCATGTACATGTATCAGTCTCAGCATGAAACTCCCTTGTTGAGGGATCAAAAAGAATCAATGTATCGACGATCTGATTTTACATTTGAATACAAACCTCTACTGATGTTGGTTATCCAGAAATGAAGAACTTGTTAAGATGTTAAAGAAGTTTTGAAGTACTTCTTAAAATTTCCCTCAGAGAAGGTATAGCATGTGGATCAAACAGCAGCTCAAAAAGTATAGCATGTGAATCTTACCACTATCCCGTCCCATTAACTTCACAAGGCCAATTCCATTCTCAAAACTAGTAGCTTCAACATGAGCAGCACTAATAGCACGTTGGGCTTCCTCAACGGCAGAATCAAAACCGAAAGACTTGTCAATAACCTGGGAGAGAATCAGAAAAGATCACCAAAAATAATTTAGTTACCCACTGAAATTTTGGTGCTTGTTGAATCACAAGTACAACGTGCCAGGTAATCTACATGACAAAGTAGTTACCGGTATATCATTATCAATTGTCTTAGGGATTCCAGCAACTGAAACATTGAGACCACGCCGTCTGATTTCCTGTAGGAGAAAGGCAGAATAAGCCTGAGTAAACACACTTTCATTGTTTTCTCCATCAACAAACTAAATATTACATCACATAAAGTGGGTATATTAGAATGAATTGGTCTAAAAGATGCTCTTCTGAAGCGTGTTATCGTGGAATGGTTACGAATTAATCTAAGGTCTACCTCAAATATCACCGCTGCCCCTCTCTGGGTTCCATCTCCTCCAATTATATAAACCTTCAAACGAAAGGCGAGATGAATATCGCATCAGGATGCAAAGATTAGATGGAAAGAAAATATCCTGAATTAGTTCTTTAATGAGATATCCCGAGTTGGTTGTCAAATAATCGTTTTCTATTTTTTATTCTTACCTGATTGATACCCCGGTCCTGTATGCTATCTACTATTTTCTTGGTAACATGACCTCCTCGAGATGTCCCAAGTATGGTTCCACCACGTTTATGAATATCATTCACAACCTTGGGTGTCAAGGGAATTATGTTTTTGGAATAGAAACCTCGATATCCTCCCTACACATCCACAAATTTCATTAGTTGTGACGCAGACATGCATAAAGCAAAATTTTCGAATTACAAACCAAAGATAGAATGTACTGTTAACAGTTGTGAAAGAGCAAGTTATAAAAAAGTTACAAAAGTTGCTTTATTTGTCAAAAGGATATATGGTAATTGCTTTAGTATACAACTGTGTGTCATGAAATAAAATGCATACTCACATCTATTCCCATGACCCTCTTTACGCCATACATATAATGTAGGCCACATACTATTTCTCTGATAACTGTGTTGAGACCAGGACATAAGCCTCCACATGTCACTATACACGCATGAACATCTTCTGGCTCAAAATAAACCTGAAAAATCATCAGGAAAATTCATATTTATAACCAGAGGATCAGGAAATTTCATATGTTGTAGTTACACCAGGTACAGACTTACTTTTTGACGAGGACCAGCTCGACGAAAATGTATTCCTCTTGGACTGTTCTTGTGCACAACAATCTGTAGGTTTATTGGCAAACGTGTAAGCAGGACGAAACCTTGTCCAACCAGGATTGCATAATGGATATACATCCTACTACCTCAAAATTCATGAATTTTAAGTTTGTTTCAGCAGATCTTTAGACAATAGCTCTGTTTACGTTCTTACAGGAAAACATGGCATGGACTTATGGAAGAGGCACCAAACAACAAAATCGACAAATTCACATGACTTTTGCCTCCAAATTCCAGTTATAATTGCGCAAAAGTCTAGGAATATTGCTTTCAAGGCATACTATCTGTTAACATTCAAAATCTTGGAGTCTTAATCAAGGCAACATATTAACACTAGAAGTATCAAGTGCTTCTCCAAATGAATAGAAGATATCCCCAAATAATTTTCATTTCAAGAGGACTGACCTTTTGGGCAACCGTATCATCCTCATCGACAAAATACTGCCTGGAAAGATGTTAAAGTGTGTTGATCAGCTTGATCTCCATGCACTTTATAAATAAATAAATAATCAATCAGAACGAAAGGAGAATATCTGGCGACTTACTTAACGACTGAATATGAAGGATTATCTTGCACTGGATTAGGATATGTCTGCAATAATAGGACAATTATTTAGTAGTTGATCAAACTATAAAGTCCTTAACCTTCTTTAACAAAAAAGAAAAAGAGAAAATATTTATTGCCTTTTGCACTACAAACACCATTTAGAGCATAATTCATACATTACTTGTTCCCAGGAAAAAAGAAACAAGCATAAGGTATCCACTAGTTTCTTCTTCAATTACTCATCATCCCAGAAATAAGCATCCTCTTCTTAATGCAATAAGTCAAAATAACAACTTCAACTCCTATCATCTACTGGACAAAACAAAAAAGCTGAATTTGTACAGAAGAAGAAAAGTGATTTAAAAGGAAAAGGTAGTTGAACTTTCTAGATTATAATAATCAAAAAATTAAATCATTTGCCACGTCAAATTATTAAAAATGTAAAAAGAGCCAACATACTTTTAACCTTTCTACCAACTGCCTCTTTAAATAAAAATAAATAAATGTACTAAAAGCATCAACCTGATCATACACAAATCTAGTTCAATCATATTGCAAATTAAGCACAGGTTTTCCTCAATATTGAACATGGCTAATCAAATAGAAACTGGTGATCAAGCAACGAATTAAATAGCCCAACTTGTTTATCAATTAACTGAATCCAGATTAGGAAAGAGGGAAAGATTAGAGGAAAAGAGAGAAGATTACAGGAAGATTAGGAATGTAATCAGACAAATGAGGAACATCCTCTAGAACATAACCACCATCACCAGTCACAATCTTCTGCTGAGAATTAGGCGCTTCTCCCATTGAACTTATATCCAAACCAATCTTCTTGGACCCCAGTACTGTTACAGCTACAAAATTTTGAACCACTGATCCCATACCACTGCTCAAGTTTGTCTGAAAATAGCAGCCCCTCAACTTTCAACTATACATATAGTCAACATATATAATAAATACAAATATTTAAAGTCCTTTTTAATATAAAATAAAAAGGCATAGGTGGCAACTGTTTATTGAATTATCTCGTGGGTTTTGCCTTTTTTGACAGGAGTTCAATTAGAACAGAAGATGGGATGAAAGAGGCAAAAATGAGAGGACTGAAATTGTTTTTGAAAAGTTATTGACATTAATTGTTTTTTGTTGAGTCGTCTGGAAATTAGAAGATTCTTTGATCTTATTCTAGATTCTGTAATATGTGGACTTTTGTTAATTAAAAAAATAAATAAATTTGGGGTTGAGGTCAATAATGGCCTCATACTTTGAATTAATTAATAGCTTGACGTTAACTGTAGACGCACACCCTCTTATCTTCTTGGTCAGCAATTCCACTGCACCTTGTTATTTTGACATTTTTATTTATGTCAATAATACATTTTAAAATGACATTAATATTTTCATCTCTTATATAATATGGATTAATCGTAGTTTCACTAATGATAGGCCAATTTAGTAATCAACAACAAGAATAACATAAACATTATAATCCCATAAAGTAGGCGGAGAACAAAAAATATGGGGACCTTACCCCGACTTTTGTGAAGGCTAATCTAGTAATCATTGAGAATAAATTATTTACAATACCTAAAAATAATGATTGTCAATTTACGCAATATCAACTAAGTTAAAGAAAACAATTAGAAAAAAATTGCGTTTAGCTCATTGTTTAATTAAGTTAGTATAGCGTGATTTTGATACATGGTACTTCTAGACAATCATGCTTAATAAATTAATCAACTTTTTCGATCAATGTCATAATCATGCCACAAATTGATTAATGGACCTTATTTTGAAAACTAGTATTAGTATCCGCGCGGATACGCGGACACTAATCATGTCAAATATTTAAGTTATTTGGATTGTATGTAATAATCTTACAATTTACACTTTCTCAGTAAATATTGATAATCATTGGATATTAGCTACAAGAAAAAAATTAACCATTTCTTCTATTTTTCTTTTTTGATACCATTCTTGCCGGTGTCATTGGATCCTAAAAATAGTCAGGAAGCAAACTAATATCTCATATTTGGCAAAACAATCAAATGTTGAGACAATGAATGACTCTTTGGATAAGACTTAACTCTTTTACTACTACTTGTACTCTTATTTGGTGTGTTGATATCTCTTAAAAAATATTTCTTTCTTAAAATTTCAGTTTCTAAAACATTATTTTTCAATAATAATTATTTTTATAATAATGTAATTGAAAATCTCATTTTAATTAGGTGGCTATCTAAAAATATAAAAATTCTTTAGCTAGTGAATTTTTTTACTCCATTTGATATTTGACATTAACCATGTTAAATATCTGAGTTATTTGAATTATATGTAAATAACCTTAACATTTAAACCTTCTAAATAATTATAGATAATCGTCAGATATTAATTAAGAAACACTACATGAAAAAAGACTAACATTTTCTCAATTCTCGTAGTGATAATTTTATTTTTGCATTATTCTCATAGGTGTCATTGGAACCTAAAAATAGCCACAAAGTGAAATAATAACTCATATTTATGGCAAAGCCCAAAGGTTGACACGATATAAACGATTCTTCGATTACCACGTGACTCTTATACTACGACTTGAACTCTTATTAGGTATGATTTTATCTTTCAAAAAATATTTCTATTTTAAAATTTCAATTTCTAAAACTTTATATATATTATAATAATAGATTATCTTTATAATGATGCAAGTGAAGGTATTATCTTAATTTAAAATTCACTTTAATCGGCTATCTAAAAATTTAAATGCTTCTTTGGCCGGATTTATTTCAGTATGACTCCACTTTAAGTTTATCCATATCTCTAGCCCATAATTTGAATTTTTAATACCCTATATATACAAAAGTTTTGTTCTTTGGATCATTAAATATTAAATTAGTTGATTATTTATTATAAAACATTGCTTATATTGTCTTAAAATTGTCAAGCGGTTTATTTTTCGACACCATACTTGGCTTAACCTCAATGCAAATTACTCAAATTGCATTCCAATTCAAATTCAAATATCATATCATTTTGTTAGTAATAGTGATTTTTTAAAAGCGACACATAATGTAAATTAAAAAAATATTCTAAGATATCCTTATCTTATAATCTATGTATTTGAGTTGAAAAAAATATATTTGAAATCGATGAGATTAACTTTCATTTTTTATACTTAACAAAGATGAAACATAAGAAGAAATTTGTTGTCATCTTTTATTTCTCGTTTATAGATCTTTCTAACATTTTTTTCAATATTTATTTTCTTTTATCTTATGTTTTATGTCATTATTTCTTTTGTTAAAAAAGTTAATTTATTTCACTATAAAAGGATGAGTTTTAATAAAAATTGTATACATATGAACTTTAATTATATTTTTAGTCTTTGGTTGAAATTATTTCATATTTTTCTTTTGGCTTTATCTAATCAGCCTAAATAGGTGCTCACCCGATCACTTAAATTAAAAAATTGGATGATGTGTAATTTATATATAATCCATATATAATATGTGCATAATCGTGTGTTGCCGGTATATCATCTATTTATATTAGCTATAAAAAGTAAACAACAAATATGGCCGGAAATTATGTAAATATTCCATAAGATTTCAGTTTTTTGAGTTTATCCATGATATAACTTCTATTATAAAAATTTAAAACTCTCTACTAATGTTCAAAAGTATCTTATCTTTTTATTTTCTTTGAATTAAAAAAAGTAAAGAGTTTTTTCGAATAATTTTTTTTTCATTTTTTACAAAAGTAGTTCACGTCATACCAATTTTTTCTTTATATATGCTCTTTGTTACACTTAAAAGTAGCTATCGAACCTTTCAATTAGAAACCAATTTTTCTCTTGTTGAGTTTGAAAAAAAAACTTTCACATAATCTAATGATTCAAAACTAATATTCTTCAAAGAAAAAAATATTATACCCTTGCTATATTGGCTTGACTACAGCTAATGAAGGGGTTTCAACTTATATCATTCAATTCCTTGAATGTGCTAAATTAAAATTAATGATAGCAATTGTATATAGCCAAAGTTTTGTTATTTGTTTGATGTCCATTTATGCGAATTGACCGTTCAAACAAATATTCTTCAAGAAGAAAAGAGAAACAATTTTTTTTTTTAATATTGACTGATTTTGTAATGTTTATTTCTACAACATGCATGTTTACTTTATTATATATGTAAGTAAACTTTTATTTGGTTTTGTAAACTCTTTTTTGTTATTTAGATAAACATATACGTGTGCCCTATATATTACATTTATTTTAAAAGAATTTCGTTTTATTCAAATATACAATGTTTCAAAGAACTATACTTATAGGATTTTAAATGTGAAAGAGTTTTATAGTTATGGAGTAGTTTTTTTTTTGTTTGCTAGAGGAGAAGTAGTATTTAAATAATTAGAAAAAATAACAAAAGTTCCTAACATTATTGCATATGACCATTAACCTAAGTATGATAACATGATAAAAAAAGATAAATTTTATTTTTAAATAAAATTCGAATTTTAGAACTTTATCTATAAATTTAAAATTATCTTTTAATTCAAATTCCGTAAATATAATATATATATATATATATATATATATATATATATATATATATATATATAATAAAGTTATAATATACTATTGATATTTATTAGTTTGCCACCTGGCTTAACCATAATGTCAATTATATATGGTAACTTTCTTGCTTTAATATATATATGGATTAGAATGTCATGGTCATGCCACAAAGAATTTTAAAATTCTTTATAATGAATTTATAATTAGATAAACACTCCATAACTATGACCTCACAACATATTTAAAAATCCATTTGTGAAACTTTTAATTAACATTTTCAACTTTCAATTCCCCATTTCTTATTCTTCTTCTTCTTCTCCCTTGTTCTCAAACTATGCCAAAGTTTCACTTTGACTTTGTTCTTGGATTCTTTTCTTGAGAATGAAATGATCTCCGGTATAAAAGAATATCTTCTGTGACCAATTACAAATTGAATAGCAGAAAATAATTGTATAGGACGTCTGCGAACGCTGGCAGATCTACCTTGGGTCTCCTGATGGACTCAAGGCAGCAACCTAACTCTGGTCAATGCGGTCCAATATCGAAATCTGCACAGAAAGCGCAGAGTGCAGTATCAGTACAACCGATCCCATGTACTGGTAAGTGCCGAGCCTAATCTCGGCGAAGTAGTGGCGAGGCTAGGACACGACAATAACATGAACCTGTGCAGTTAAATCATATACGAGAAAGTGAAAAAGAACGGAAAGGTAACTGATAATACGGGAAGGGGAAAAAATATGCTGAGGGGAATATCAAATCCTGATAAGTAAAGGAACGCAGTAAATATCATGCTTTGCACCAACGACAGTAATAACATAGCAACAAGTACACGGCATCACCCTTCGTGCTTTTACTCTCATTCTCACCATAAGAAAACAGTATGAACGGCACGACATCACCCTTCGTGCATTAACTCTCTCATAATATGGCACGACATCACCCTTCGTGCATTAACTCTCTCATAGCATGGCACGGCATCACCCTTCGTGCATTATCACTCACTCACAATACATTGCACGGCATCACCCTTCGTGCTTTACACTCTTCCTCACCCAAACAACAGAACAATATCAATCCGGCAAGGGAATTGTCAATAACCAACCTCTTTTCAACATTTAAATTCACAACATAAATCTCAACTTGAGTCAATACTCAACCAATATCAATTTCAGGAAAATATGATAAGATTTGTCTAACATGAAGAATAACCAATCTAAGCATGAACCGTATGAATAAAGAATACAATGGTCACAAGTATAAGACTCACTCGCATGCTACGACCCAACAACAACGTATAGATACTCGTCACTTCACCTATACGTCGTATTCAACAATCAAACACATAGCAAATAAGGCAACAATACCTAATCCCTCAACCTAAGGTTAGCCACAAGACTCACCTCGATTCCACGGCCAAAATCAAGCATCAATCACCGCCTTTCCTCTAGATTTCACCTCTGAACCACTATTATCTAGTCATAGTTAACTTAATAACATCAATTAATCAATTCTAATACACAATTATAGGTTTCCTAATATTTTTCCCAAAAAGTCAAAAATCGACTC